AAACGCATTTTCCATTGCACGACAAATAAAATTCTAATGAAATAACTACTCAACTGAAAAGCTCGATTCCGAGTAAAAAAAAGACGCAATAATAGCATGTTCTTTAATTGTGAACGCAATCAGAAAGTATTATTTGCGTTCGAGGGAACAAAAAAAAGGACAACCGGACGAACGCCAGAAGTTATTGAATCAAATCATGACATAATCAGTTTGCGCGCGTGCGGAAGTCCACATGACTGAAAAAAGAATACTTCAAGATATTCATTTCATCGGTTATTTTTCATGCACTACAGCTTTCTAGTGGCTCACTCACCATTGACTCCTTCCTCCTTGTGAGAGGGAATGAGATAGGACTTTTTTTTGTTCGTTTCACCGCAAAAAATATCAATTAAGGGAAGCTTAGTAGCGAAAAAAGAGCCAATGAAAGTACATAGCTCATGCATATAAAAGGATTTTGTTACAAACCAACATTATTATATTCCGACGGTCAACGAACAAACATGAATTTGATAGTAAGTCTAATTGTAATACATTATTTGATTAATTGTAATTTAACTCACTTGTTTGTAGTTGCTGGCATTTGTCTTGTGTGGAGCCGTTTTCGGTGATGACAAGAGGACAAAGCGCGGATTCGAGCATGGATTTGGTGGTGGATTCGGCGGTGGTTTTGGTGGCGGTTTCGGAGGACACGGGCACGTCCAAACTATCACGTTGACCAAACCCGTCCCATATCCTGTACCGCACCCGGTGCCTTATCCTGTAATCAAGAAGGTACCTGTCACTATCAAAGTCGGTGTACCTTATCCCGTCCCTAAACCATATCCCGTTCACATACCTAAACCATACGCAGTACCAGTTGCAAAACCTTACCCAGTACCAGTAGAGAAACCCGTCCCATACCCAGTCAAAGTCCCATACCAGGTACCATACGCAGTACCACACCCGGTACCAATTCCGAAACCGTACCCAGTAACCATCCACAAACCGTACCCAGTCAAAGTACCATACCCAGTCGTCATCGAGAAGAAAGTACCGATTGTTTTGGGTGGACACGGTTTTGGTGGTCATGGATTCCATTGAAACTAGGTAAGAAATAAATGGATTAAACTAATTAAACTCCCTTTTATGTATCTATCTCTCCGTAATCGTCTAATTACTTGTATAATTGCAGATCTCAGACGTTCGATTTCAAAGCATCTATTTGTTTTTGTTGTTTGTTGGTTTGTACATATCGGCACTTGTTTTCTTCGTTACAAATTCTTACACGTATATAATCTAAAACCAATAAAAAAAAGTTATTAAAAATTGTGTCTCATTACGATCATTTCCTCATTGACTTTTATTCCTAATAAATCTTTACAGCGGCGTTACCAAGTTGGATAATTACTCTAAAAAATATTAACTTATAAAAAGTTGCATGTTTCTTATCTTATTATAATTAATATATATAAAAAAATACAATAAAACTGAGAACGCGTTGTTTTTATTACAATTTCCGCAATTTCCATTCTTAGTAAATTGAATTACATTTCTTACTTTGTTACGTAATGGAAATAATGGAATTGTTCTAGAAACAAGTCATGTCTTCGAAAATTGCATCTACCTATAATGACCGAAACAAATAAAAATATATACTCCAATTTCAGTTCAATAACAATACAATAAATATACTTTAAAACTATTAAATTAATCTAATTATTGCATTCAGTCCATTATAATTATCTCATCAAGTGTTTCTAATTAAAATAATTAAAATTTAATATGTAAAGCTATTTTTTTTTCAATAGTAATTTTTCGGGAATTATATTGAATTTCGGTTTTCATAATTATATTAATTTTATAAAATTGTATATTAATTGACAAATGTTACTTAAATTCCTAAACATTTTTTTTTTAAGTTTTTAAATTTATATACAAACATTGTCAGACCCTTGTTTTCGATAATTTACGAAAAATTCTTAAAGAAATTAGACATTTGTATATGTATTTGTTATGTAATCATTTATTATGAAAGAAGCAAATTAAAGAATAATTTATATTAAATAAATATTTTTTAAATTACATTAATCATTTTTTCGTACTGCTTCACAAGTTTTAGCTATGTTTAATATGGACATATAAACCAAACTAAATTATTTAAAGTTTTTGTTGAAATTTGCTACAAAATATATTAGATGTAAATTTGGAAATACGAATAAGCTATGGAAATATGTAACAAGTCCACTATTATTTGATTTATAAAATTGTCCAAAAGACTACATCTGTTATTTGGTAATCACTTTTGTTTTAATTATATTAATAAGTAAAATTATTTCAAAATATGTTATTTTTGTTTAAATTCATAATTTATAAATAAATAAATATTTATTAATAAGCCATGGAAATATTAAGGCAAATGAAACTGAACCATAATGTAATAAATAATAAATGCATAAGTAAATTCCAAAAGCATGAGTCAATTGGGTGAATGAAATATAAATGTACGAATAATCATGCTTCATTAATTATATAGATCTTATTTTGATAAATATTGTGGAGTGAATTCCGCATCAATTTCTCACAGAATTATTCAAAATGGAACCGTGAGATTGCTGAATTTCCATGAAACTACGGCATAACAAGCTAATGGATTAATTATAGCAGAACTTATGAAATCGTTTTTACTTTATCAGATTTAATGAATATTGTATAAACGTATCAAAGTACTTCCGTACCATCTGGTGAAAGTATGGCACAGTTTCATTTCTTTTTGGCGATTTTCTTTTTGTGAGTGCTGGTTTTGTTTTGAGGAGTTTGGGACGAATATGATATTATTATTATAAGAAAAAAGATTGTTTATGTAAAATAAAAATAACTTTATTTATGCACACAAAATTGTATATAAAAAGTGAAAACCACAAATGTAGCGTGGACTAGTCAAGAATTAATATGTTTTTAATTACAGTAAGTATGGTATTTTGATGAATGAGTTGAGATTGTGAGACAAAAAAAAAGATGATGATTGATGGTATACGCGATCACAGAGTTTACCAGGTCTTCCATCCACCTCCGTAAGATCCGGATGAGATGGAACTACCCAAACCATGACCACCCAAAGAGATTCCGCCATGGCCGAAAGAAGATCCTCCGAGAGAAGATCCGCCGAGGGAGAGTCCGCCACCATAACCATGGTCGTCGGACTTGACGAAGATTGGTACTGGCTTCTTAACGTAGATGGTTTCCGGGATGGCGACTGGAACTTTCCTGATTACTGGCACGGCGACTGGTTTTGGGATTGGGACGGCAACTGGATGAGGTACTGCTACTTTGTATGGTACGTTGTATGGGACGGCGACCTGCTTCTCAACGGTGTATGGTACTGGCTTGTCTACTGGTACTGGGTATGGTTTTGGTACATGGACTGGGTATGGTCTGTCGACTGGTACGGCGACTGGGTGTGGTACTGGAACGGCAACATCCTTGGTTACATGGACTGGGTATGGTCTTGGTACTGGGATTCCGACCCTGTTGGTAACGGTGTAGTGCCTGTGAACGGAGCTACCCAAGTCGATGACTCCCAATCCAGATCCACCGCCTAATCCACCTCCTAAACCGCCTCCCAAACCACCTCCAAGACCACCTCCAAGACCACCGCCTCCGCCCAAACCTCCGTGTCCTCCACCGAATCCACCTCCGATGCCGCCTCCATGTCCACCCAAGGAGATTCCGCTCAATTCAATGCCATGTCCTCCTCCCAAACCAATGCCGCCGCCATGTCCTCCTCCCAAAGAGATGCCGCCTCCATGTCCTCCTCCCAAAGAGATGCCGCCTCCGTGTCCTCCTCCTAAAGATAAACCGGCCCCATGGTCTAAGCCACCCAAAACGGCTTCACCATAAACACCGCGTTTTTCTTTCTTTTCAGCTTCTTTAGCCAAGCAGCCAGTTACGGCCAAGACGAGAATGCAGATCTATAATTGTGAATATATATATAAATATATTAAAATTCAAAATAAAACAATGTTTTTTTGAAGAAATCCTTACCGTAGACTTCATCATGCTTTACTTGAAATTGATAGCAGAAGACTGATACTGTTCCGAAGTGTGACTGGGCTTTTATACTGGAAATAATCATAAAGTTCGCACATTGGAAGAGGGGCGGATGTTACTCACATGCTGCTGCCTCTACTTTACCTTTCTACACACATACATACAGCACACAGTCACACGCACAGTGAGAGCCACAGTACTCGCACACACACAGCCACTCAGCACCAATATCAACCCGAAAGATGGACTACTTTCGGACTTATGCAACTCGGAAGAACAGTGACAGTGAATTCGTTTCATTTCACATCACATTTTTTTTGCTCTCGTCCTGATGTCGTTCTCGTTCTTCCACTAGTTAATTAATACCATTATCAAATTGCACAACGAGGACACAGAATAAACCCAATTTCCTTTCCAATTTTTTGCATTGTTACTTACTCTCCATGCAAAACATTGATTTCATCAATACAGTTTTTATTTTATAAAATGATTATAAAAGTGTCGCAATTAAATAAAATTCTACAATTACTATTGAGAATATTTTGTATTGAAATTTCCAATATTAATTACAATATTTCGAAATAAATATTTAAATATTTTCAAAATAACTATCCAATTTTTTCTGTCTTACTATAAGTACAAAATATAGATTTAAAAAAAAATAAAATTTATTTAAAAAAAATAATTAAGTCAACTATATATTCTATAATTAGTATTAATAAATATATTAGTATAATAAACACTAGAATAGAACATATATTCGCTTTTAAACGTTTTCTTATTACTTTAATAATTGAAAAGTCAATAACAATTGTATAGGACAAGTTCTGACAAACATTTATTCCATATAAAAAAATAATCCATTAAAATAAATTAAAATTGATTTTTTAATGATAATAAATAATAATATAGAAAATATCTAAACACCTTAAAATTGTATAAAAAATCAGTATCTTCCGACAATTTTCTATTTATTAATCAAATATCAATAAAATTAGTACACAAGATGAATCCTATTCCCTTTCTAATCTTTATATTGTTACTATTCGTACAAAGCATTGAATCCATTGATACAATAAAATTGTATACATCTGCATTTATTTGAAAGTACTAATTATCAAATGTGCATGGAATTAAAGTAATTGTATTTTTGTTTGTTTAATTAATCTATTTTTCTTATTTTACTCTCTTAATAAAGTGCTACTTGGTAATTATGCATCCGTAGATAATTTGCGCTCACTGAATTGTTTTTTTTTCTTATGCACATTCAAATCTCCACAAACCGCAACGTCTGCATTGCGGATGAACATGAAAATTACATATAATGAGTAATTATTTCCATCGCGGCACGCCATCAAATTACATTTAAATAAATATAACATAATTAATTCATTTGAAAAAGCTAATCCTTTTTTAACTGCAATTTTATGTTGTTTTTTAATAATAATTATATTATAAAATTTAATTATACTAAACAGCATCAAATTGCTACAGCTTTTCCAATAAGTTATATAATTACGTAAATTATTCGAACGTAAAATGAAAAACACAATCCCATTAAAACTTCTAATTGCAAATTTAATTGATATATTTAACTTTACGAAAATCTAGATCAAACATCTTTATAAATACTAAATAATTGCAAATCTTTGTAATTTCAGAGTTCTTAATATTTCTTTAAGCGTAACCAAGTTGCGTCACTTCTTGAATACGCTTTGTAATTATGATTCAGTTTAGGGTCATTTGAGAATGCATGCCTTTTGATTTATAATTAGTGCAGTCAAAGAATGTTAGACATAATTATTGCATGCAAATATTCGATTACTTCAATTCCTTGTTGTTATTCAATATTAATATATTTAAAAGAAATACATTAATGTTTCTTTCTTTTTCCCATGTCGCCAGATTTAGAATGCTAGAAACACATGTACAACGTAAATGTACCGTATTTACCTAGTTCCAAATGAAGTCAACTATTTTAATAACTTAAAAAAAACGTTATTACGGATGTTCCACTTTTTTCCAAAGTTTTTCATCATAATTTAAATGTGCATATATTCACTTATAATTAAACATCTGTCATCTGTTATTATTGCTAATTAGCATCCAGATGAAGACATCAAACAATACAATATTAAAAAAGTCTAGTCTTGAAACATTTAATAAACATAAATTATCATCATAGAAAACTAGAGTAACTGATATAAAGTATATAAACTTTTCAAAGATAAATTTCTGATAAATATTGATATATTTTAAGATATAATTAGAACTTTCTTTATTCATTACATAAAGAAAGTTCCATATCAAAAATATATGCAATTTATATTAGATTATAAAGAAATTAGTATTCTCATTAAGGAAGTTGTAATTAATTAAATACTAAGTAAAACAAATATTTACATTTAATAGATAAAATAAATAATCAGCAAATTTTATAGAAAAACTTGAATTTGTTCTATTTTAAATTATACAGATGTCATTATTTAATCCTACATAACACTGACATTTATTGAGAATATTACAGTGAATACATTATAATAAATTAAATCTTTGCATATTAGGAAATGCATGTCATTATATTTTTGTTGTGTGTGTGTTTTTTTTAACAATTTATGTTTGTAAAGAAGTGTTGTTTGTTTCTATAATGAAGTTTGTTGGGATCGCGACAATTTCTAATAAACACAGCATTATGTAAAAGCCGTACGTTTCTCATTTCAAAATATGCAATTATATTTAGAGAAATTCAGTGCGTGGAAGCAAAAATATTGCGAGATAATTGTCGAAATTTTAATTTATTAATTACTCTTAAATTGTTCTTTGACAAAAAAAAACTTGAAAAAGATAATGACCGATTCTAAAACACATAAAGAATATTACTAATAATACATACATATTTCTTATTTATAGTTGAATAGAGATGAATTTCGTACTTTTACTATTCAAGAAAAGATAATGACCGATTCTAGAACGGATAAATTATACTTGATAAATTGGGTTTGCTTATATATTTTTTATAATTGAATAAATGCTATTAATATAATAATATTTAATGAGACTAATAATGAGAAAATGCAGTATAATTAATAGATCGTCGCTTCGTATAATGGATATAAATATATAGACGTATGAATCATTCTTATAATTAATGTATATAATTAGAAAATATATTGTGTGCACTTTCCTTTTAATTAATCTCTCTTCACTATTGTTCTTCATATTAAGATGATTACAATGAAATGTGTTTAAGAAAATAAACTAGAGGTAGCAAATCAACATTTTTTATTATGGTGACGTCATAATATAACATCAATCAAGTTAAATAACGATCCTCTAACACTAAAACACCTGTTTAAGTTTAGTGACTACCATATAAACTAATTAAGATTTTCAAATAAATAAAATTTTATTACTATTCTTGCATAAAAGGGTGACTAATAGCCGAATGGTTAAGTCGCCCTATCCACGATTTCGTGGGCGCCGGTTCGAATCCTGGTCAAATCAGGCCCTTTGTGAGCCCTCTCGGTGCTTGCAGCAATTGGGCCATTGTTCATCATGAATGGACAGTCAAATAAAAGAGGTTCAGCATATGGAAATTCAGCCAAGTTGATGGACAATGTTAGTGTTAAGGATAGTATCTGATACACAGACAAAGGGAATAGTGGAATCGCAGAGTGTCAATATACTGAAGTTAACCTACAAGACGGCAGCCAACCAACAAATTACACAAGAATATAATGATAAAAACTTCCATTGGGAAGTTTACCAAAAAAGCAAAATGTCTACCGCCATTAGATTTAATTAAAATTTGCAGGAATAAGATTGTAAATTAAATATAAATATAAAAAAAATGTTGCATAATTATATTAGTAAACAATTTTAGGATATACTAGATAAAGGTTGCAACGGGATAATTACAATATATATTTAAATATGATTTTTTTTTAATGATTTGATTAATCAGTGAAAATTATATAACAATTTATGGAAATTAAAAAGTAAGAAGAAAAACAGGTAGACGACAAATAATAAAAAAAAATCGTACTTTCCGTCTTTTAGACCTTGAAGCATTTCGACACATCGATAGAACACAATAAAATTTTTGAGTAGTAAATTTCCAACTTTCTATCAAAGTTTCTAAAAATTGTGCTGTATTGAAAGTAAAACAATATCGAAATAAATATATTTCTAATAATCTGACTTGTCTTCAATAATTGCTTGACCAATGAGAGTCATGAAAATCATTATGAAATTCTTCTTTCTGTTATAAAATAAATATATATTTACTAAATAATGTTTTCTTATCTGAATTCTCAAATTATAAATAAAAAATGTATGAATCATTTATTAAGAAACTTTATATATGGTGCATGTAATTAATTATAAATTTAAATGCGTTCGCATATAATGAAACTGACCGTTTTAAGAAGATTAAAAAGTGCATTTCTTGGTGCAGGTAATAAATATACACAAGTTGTTTATTCCTTCTGAGCTGGGGAATCTCTCCGCAATGTACGCAACTTTCACAACGTGATTTATAGTCTCATACATCGGATCCTTTTGATTATGTTTACCAAAAAAAAAATCGAATTGGGGATACCGATATTGGGTGAACCGATTTTAATATGATTTTATAAAAACTGGATTTGTTGTTTTGTTAGTGTGATATACCGTGTGCATGATGAGTTTCTAAACTTTCTACGATAAATTTCTTTGACCTTTGCTCAAATTTGCATATGTTTTTCGAGTTTATTGAGAAATTAAATAAAAAAACTGGAGCAGTTTCGCAATCGCTTTCAACGAGAGCATTTAATCAACGATTAAGACTAGTTAACAAAAGACTAACAATAATAAATAACTATATGACTGTTTTAGATACAATTATTGCGATTTAACGAAATCTTGGAGCGCGTTGAAATGGGCAAAAGGTGATGAAATACCTAAAGCGGGTTGAATGGCTGCATGACTATCGCCCACGGCAAAAGCCTGAGCACTTCCTAATGCTGGTGCGGAAACTTCTTGCAGACCGAATGCAGCGCTACTTCCGGTGGAGATCTGTTGGGCTCCGATGTATCCCAACGATCCAGAACCAAGAGCGTAGTTACCGTTTCCTAATTGGGAGAGTCCCAGTGAACCAGAGCCCAAGGAGATGGGTTTCTGTGGGAGGATTGCTGTCGGTGTTGAAATCCTGGGCACAGGCACCGGCTCGTAGTTCTCCTCCTTGACTTCGTAGGTCTGAGTCGGCGTGTTGGTAATCCTAGGAGGATACCTCGGGGACGCAACGGCTTGCGGAATGTTAACCTGCGGGATATCAAACTGCTGGATGCTGTGCTGCGGAATTCCAATCTGCGGCTGGATCACCGGCTGCAACTTGGGTAACTCAGGAGCGAGCAGAGTCGTGGTGAAGCTGTCTGAAATTGCAGAGCTGACTACGTTAATTGCTGGAGATCCATGTTGTCCTCCGAATCCTCCTCCTCCGCTGCCGCCTGCATGGATACCGGAAATGTAACCGTGTCCGAAGAGAATTCCCGCCGGATATTCGTGCTTCAGGTGGTGCGAGAGGTCCAGGTGCTCTCCGAGATCGACGAGATTCGCCGATCCGTAACCGTGGTGCGGCGCGTACCCGTGTTCTTCTAAGGATGCTGAGGCAATTGCCAACAACAGAGAACCGAAGATAATTAGCTGGAAAGAAACAATCAAAAGGTTAGGAATTACCTGGAATTACCGTTGCGGATTGTTCTTCAATTTACCTCTTTCATAATGTTTGTGTACTTGATCGCAAAAGAATGTCTTTACCTCTTCGGCGCGCTCTTATTATATATACCCCTTCACCGATATTACTTCAACTTAAAGCTAATATACAAATCAGATCCATTCCATTGGCGTATCACATTCTCTCAATTTCTCTCACGCTGTTACCCAACACTCATAAATATTCCGCTATTTAGAGCATCTGGTTATTTTTTACTGAAATATTAATTATATTAAAATCATATAATCTACAATGAAGAAGAATAATGCTATTCAGAGCGTAAACATATCTTTAAAATGTACAAATAAAAACACTATATTTATAGCTGAAATTATAAAATTACACGCATAATTACAGACGCACAAAAAATGATACCACATGAATCATTGCAAAGGAATATTAGCCGTCTGTCCATAAAGAAATATTAAATTAAAAATGGTATACATTCATTTATAAAATTTAAGTAATGAAAATTCAAGTTACAAAAACGAGGATTCTGCCAACTTGTAATATTTATTGAATTGTACTTCTAGAAATTAGTTAAATCGTTTTGGTAAGTATTGATGTTACATTAGACAAAAATATTGAGTACGTCTATGTGTTTGTTTTTGAATTAAAAGATAAATGGAATGTTATAAAGTGGCTAAGAGGGGCTATGATTAGTGGAACTTTCGCCAGATCTCCGCCTACCTTCGGACAAGCATGCATAATTCCGTAACTCTGGTTCCGACAGAAACGCTTCCGGTTCCGTCTTGCTCGTAAAATTATCAAGTAATTTCACCTGCTCAAAGTCGATTTCTCACCTTTGTCCTTACGGCTATACGGAGTTAATACCGTTACTCGAATGCAATTTTACCGTAAACGAATTCGCGAAATTATAATCTCACGTGTACTTTTGTTCCATCCGGCCGATGCGATCTGCGGTGGCATTCGAGAAGAAATTGTAACCGCAATTGAGTATTAATTACTGCTCCGATCCCGTTCGGATTTCACAAAAGCACTGTAATTGTTCTTGTGCTTCTTTTGGCTTTATTTGTGAAATGCAAGAGAAATTATATACGTGTGTATGTACGGTAAATAACGACGACGATAAAACACGGTGTTTCGCTTTCCACCGATCAGATGTATCAGTTGACTTCTTCCTTGTCAAATATGAGATGAAATCGATTCTTGTCCGATTCTATTTTTGCAAAAAATCCTCCTATACACGAGACGCCTATGTTCTGTGCTGTAAAGTCGCAATTTCCGGATAATTTTTATACCTCCGAGTAACGGTTTTGCAGCAATTGCAATGTGCAATCGCATTAGAGAACTACAAATCCGATCCTTTCGTTCTATCCTAGATAAATGTAGCATTGAAAAAACACATTTTATGTTCAAAGATTGCAACATTCAATATTGATACATAGTAATTTACTAAGAAATAATATTATATTATCATATAAAACTAAAAAAAATCCGTAATAAATAGAATTAATAGGTTATATAATTATTTGATAGGTTAATAATTATATAATCAAAATATTTGGCATTGAATTTAAAATTGAAAATGAGAGTACTTAATAGATGGAATGACATTTCAGATTAATGCAAACAAAGAAGCTATTGTTGAGTGCTGGTATTTAAAACGATATTAATGGAAAGTAGGGATATATCAATAATATTGATGGATGAGAATACACGCCTATTTATGAAGTTGTATTCATAATATTCTGATTGAAACTCTCAATTTAATTTAATGTAATATTAAATGCTTTATATGCATTGAAAACTACTTTTGTTTTGTTAAGTACATGATTATGTAATTTGAATGTAAAATTGAAAATGACTGTACTAAATAGATGAAATGATAGTTCCACTTTATGCGGACAAAGAAGTTATTGTTAAGTGGTGGTATTTAAAATGTTATTGATGGAAAGCAGCGAAAACCGTTCGAGTGTTTCGGTAATTGTATACGTCGGTAACTGGTAACATTATATAAGTATCGTGATGGGCCCTCGATTTGTGTTTGTTTTTGGCGAAGATAAAAAAAAGAAATGAAATAAATTCATACAACGAGAGCGGCCGAGACACACCCCAGATACATACACACGGTGAAAGGTGGTATCTGCCATTTCACAGCTCATTGGCATCGTGGATAACCGCACGCAGCGAAAAGAAATTATTTTCATACATTGAATACATGAATAAGAACATGAGATTACATAAAATGTAGCAACGGGCCTTAAGTGGCATTTAACTTAATTACATAAAGCCGAAATAAAATAAGTAAATTCTCCATCTAAATAGATATATTCTAGTGAGAAGAGAAAAGTTAAAGAGCAGCAAGCGATTGGTTCTCATCGATGCGTTTCCCATCAATCAAATGGCAGAATTCGTTATTAGAAAGGTGCAGGAAACATGTGTCTGCTACAGGAAATCAAGATCACCGAGTAAAAGCACAATAAAAATTGCTTTTACCGGCACAAAAGGTTCCTCATTTAAATCTGCCTTGAAACGCAATAAATAAGGTCCGAAAAAAGAAAGCGCAAGAAGATTCCATTGCACAACGAACGAACGAATGAAAGAAACGCGAGAAGAGATAAATGGAAAAAGAAAATAAAGAAATACGACACTTCTTCGCGTCCCACAAATGCCAATCGATAAATCGACTAAAAATAATAGCTTCAATTTTGGAAATACACTTAATTAACTTTCATTTTTGTTGATCCACTCTCTGATTCCGATTAAGACGAAATTATCTTCCACTTTCTTTGCTTGATATTTCGAAACACTTTATTTTTGTACTAAATAATAATATAAATAATAATAAATAGTTCTAAATCTACAAAGTCTCATTATTTTCTAAAAGCTCGTCCTTCTCCTTATCCTTGTCATCTTCTTCCGTGCTAGTGGCGTTAACAATAGTCACAGCCTCTGTAGTCGTAGTTGTCGTTGAAGTCGACGATAAAATAGGTGATTCAGTTACATTGTTGCTATGTACCGAAGATTCAGTTACAGAAGAGAGTGTCGATAATGGAATATAGGTCGTGGTTCTATTTAACATAGTCATCTGAGTCATCGGTTTCATCGTGGTGAACTGTGAGTATTCGCAATTCCTTCCAGAAGATCCTTCTCTGCACAAGCATCTGAAACTGCCATCATCTTTCGTCACGCTAACGCATTTTGCCCCATTCTGACATGTACCAGGGTTATTCTCGCAATAGTTCAATTCTAAAATATAAGAAAGTAAGTAAATAAAATCATCCTCATTACCAGCTGTTGCTTTCGAAATACCTTCATCGCACAACATTCCACCCCAACCGGGTCTGCAGTTACATTCCCAAGGCCGATTACATCCTCCGTTCACGCATCCCGGATAAGGATAACACTTCTCGCAGTTCTTACCCCACCAACCAACTTTGCATCTAAAAATTTAAAAAAATCAATACCGATCTCACAAAAATAATTTTGTTGATTCTACCTGCACTCTCCTGGTTTCCTGCAGTATCCGCGGTCCCTGTGGCAGGTCTTCGAGCAAAGGGCTTTAACAAAGATCAACCATTAACTTTATATTCGATTAAAGTTTGGTAGGTAACTTACGTGTTTGGCAAAGTATACCGGTCCAACCGGGACGGCACTTGCATTCCAAGGGCTTCTCGCAATATCCGTGCTGACATCCTGGCAATACTTGACATTCCTTGCACGTCTTTCCGGCCCATCCCAAACGGCATTTGCATTCACCAGGATGATCGCAGTAGCCTCTTGTCAGATGACAATCCAATCTGCATAATGCTACAAAAAAAAAAGAAAACCATATTAAATTCCGTTACTCATTTCTAAATAATTATTCACATTCAATACATGTAACAGCTTAATTAATTTATGAATAGAAACCGAAATTACTTTCACGATTCTTAAACGATCCAAATTTTCTATTTTTTTATATATTTATTAGATTTCCCTCCTTATATGACATCAATCGTTTAATCAAGTGTACTATGTGAATTTCTTGTTCTTTGACTTATTAATATAGAAAATCATCTCAATTCAACTAGAATTTCGTTCAATTTTATATTTTCTTATGCAAATATTATTTCTATATTACACAATTATAAAATTCACTTCAATAGATTTCAATAAAATTTATAAAAAAAACACACATCATATCACAGAGAAAGCTTACAACTCATCAGAAATAACGTTGTATATTTGTTTATATTATAATTTTTGCGGAGAAATATTATTAGGTCATGTTCCACTTCTCGACATTTCGCCATAACTGAATATTTTTTATTTTTTTTTTATTTGAATATTTAAGATTAAAGAGGTGTTGAATATATCATTTTTCAAGAAAGAAAAAAGTTAATATATTCTACTAAAACAAAGACTACGAATAACAATAATTACTGTACCACACATATTTTCATAAGAAACGTGACTGATGACCGTTAGGAGAAACTCCTTTTACAAATACGGAATATTATTGCTTCTACTGGAATACATATGTATTAGGTACAATTTACGGCTTAAAAATTACAAAATTGGTTATTTATACTTTAATTTATAATTAACTATTAAAGAATTTCATTTAAAACTAACTTAAAGATTACGTAAAAAGTATCAAACATTTTGTTATAACATTTATATGGATATTTCTAGTAATAATTGCGTTTTAATTTACTTCATTAAGAAAATTGTAATCAAAATCATATTTTTTTATTAACTGAATATTTCATGTATATGTAAAATAATGGATAAACCTAATGCTGTAATACTTTTGATAACTTGTAAATAATTCATTATTATTGTATACATTTATATTAATAATGCTTTAATTACTATAGATTTCAACTTTGTTATTATTTCATTAGATTGAGATTTTATCTTAATGATCAATATTTTATTTTTGCTTCAATTTCTAAATATCATTAAACTGTATATATAATTGCAAATTGCTCTTTAAGACTTTAAAAAATAAGAAAAAAAATATTCCAATTTAATTATATGTGTTTAATTAACTTTCTAAATTTCGATGGCGAACGGCGAATTTATTATTATAAGCAGCTCGAGATAAATTGAATCCGAAGCGCGAATAATTAGGAATGCAATTTGTGAGTCCATTAAATCGCAAATTGCGTCTCAAATGGAATAAGAGATTGCGTTTCGCGTTTGGATTGGAAATGGGTTGAAGACGAAAAGAAATTCACATCAAAGATCAATTAGTAAATAGTCAACATCCAATAGCTTATGGCATATATCAAATGGTGATTAGGAGCAGAAGGAGCTCGTTTTATGATTCCGATGTTTGTTGCCAATTAAAGAAATTATTGTTTTAAGCGGTCGAGTGATTCCATTGCTGATTACCGGTTTTCTCACGGCGCAATTTTATGCAACAACAGCATACGGCATGTTTTCTTTCCATCTTATTTTCTTAACATTTTTTTTATTTTGGGAGAAAGGACTTACGTTCGGAGCAGAACAGGCCGTCCCAGCCTTCATGGCATATGCACTCAAAACTGACATTGCAAGTACCGTGCTGGCATCCCGGTAGAGGTATGCATTTGTTGCACCGCTCTCCGTAATAACCGAGCTTGCAGAGGCATTCACCCGGCCTGTTGCAATATCCTTGCAATGGATCGCAGCCAGAACGGCACTTTGGCACGTCGCACAAGTCGCCTGTCCATCCTGGAAGGCACTTCACCTCTCCATCATCGTCGCAGACGTAATGCGAATGTTCGTTCTGGGAGGACGGAATCTCACAAGCCTAGGTAAAACAAAACAAAAACAAAGAATTTATATTTAAAAAAAAAAGACAAACATCGGTCGCTGAACAACGGATTTCCGTAATGGGAATTCTGTGTCAAATCAATATTTGAAAGTCGCAAATCGCATCATCGTGCCATCATGATCAGCAATATTAGAAACTGCTTTATTAATAATTTTATTTGACTGTCGGACCATTCGGAATTGATTTTATTGGGTTTGTAAGCCGGTCACGTTTTTGAAAGTCTTCTGTTGTATTAACGAAAACAAAAGGAACAACACAAAGCCGGTTAAACCATATATTATAGTACGCACGACATGTTACAGAAATTTAGTTTCTAGACCGGAAAATGATTCAATTTTCAAATAAAATGAATAGGTTCAACAGAACACAATCACTTATATCAAAATGGAAATTTTATACAAAATAGATAATCTTAATTGCAGACAACAAAGTTAAACTTAATTTAAATAAAATAGGACAAAAATACTTAAATATAATAATATGTATTGGAAATTATAACCATATGAAACGGGCTATTGAACATAGATTCTTCCGCTCAAAATTAAAAATATTATTATTTTATATTGATAGATTACAATAATTAAGATCGTAATAAATAAATAAATAATAATAATCAAGTAAGAATATACTCAAATAATCAAATCAATTATAATTAATCATGTAAATTAACAAAATAAATAATGTTTGAATAAATATTTGTTGTATTTATACAGTCAAGTAATAATATTATTTTCCTTCTCTTATGCTTCAGGTTGAGTAATTCAAAAAATTTATTTCTATTCAAATTAATGTTTACCTGTTTCTTCCATTTTGGGACAAATCTGGTTGCAGGGAGGACCGACGGTATGATGAAAAAGCCGAACAGCAACGGCCACCAAAACTTATCCATGATAACACTTGTCTACTAAGCGCGGGTTTTTAGTTGGATGTGAAGAAGTAACCGTGAGCGACCGTGAACTTGGCCATACTGAAGCAAGTCGCTGACCTTCTTTAAGCCCACTACTACAACTTATAACGTCTTCGTCAACCCGAACAAATGTGTGTCATAGCCAGGTGCAACGAACTCTCCATCAAACAAGTACAGCAATTAGCATATTCAGATAAACCTCATAATTAAATAATCAACTCTTCAGATGTATACTGGAAACATTATAACATACTTTATTTACAAATAAGCAAATTCAAAATATAATAAAAATTAATTTGGACTATTATTATACAGTAGATACTAGATGAACATGAAATCAAATTTGATATTTTCATTTACATACTACATACTTATATACTAATCAGTGCTATTCAGTGCTAGGACTATTGTTATTGAACATGTCAAGCAGATAGTCTATGTATAAATCTTTGGCTTTAGTTCCAAACATGAAATCAATGTGATTGAAGTTCTCTTCAGGGATTTCGTGGATGGCAAAACGCGCCTTTCGTGACAGGGATTTATATAAATTAATAGAATCCTGTAAATAAAACGGAAGATTATTAATCGTTACTTTTAATCAATACAATTTTAACTTACATATTTCGTTGTTAACCAATCATTCCTAGCATAAATAACTGCAGTTGGAACAACTATTTTCGAAATATCATATGTAGGTGGTAGAAAGCTATTGTAAATCCCTATATTTCGTACACCATAGTCGAATTTCCTAAAGGAGTTACCCACAAAACTGGCGACGTGTTTGATTAATTTCAAAGATGTTCCACTAGGATGTTGGTCGAAGTAGGCTGGATACATTTCCTGAGATTATAAAACATCAATTATTGTATTATTTATTAAAATTCGATTTATTTCTAACTGGTTTAATTCCATTTTTAGGTCCATAGATCAGAGAAATGAAAGTGAAACAACTATTCATCGTTTTTGGTGAATCCATACATATAATTTTAGCAATATCTTTGGTTGTTTGTCCAAACGATGCTATTTTAATAAATCCATAATATTTGCTGGCAGTCTAGAAATAAAATCATTTTTCAATATATTTATGTTATTGTTTGTTTTAGTTACATAAATGGTATCGACGAATGGCGCTGCTAATCCCAAAGAAGTCCTGATATTTGATAAAGTATACGCTGGAGCTGTCAGGACCATAAGTTTGATGTACTTTCGAACTTCTTCAGGATGTTCCGAGCCATACATTAATCCGAACGTGGATCCCAAAGAATGACCAACGTATATAATCTTATTTCCCGTTTCGTTGAAGATGAACTTGATGGCTGCAGGGATATCCCCAAGTGCAACGTCGTCGACGCTTTAAGAGTAATTCATTCATAAAATTAATGGCTCCATCTTCATTCAGATGATTTATTTGTAATGAGGTGACCTTAATTGCAAATTCGTATTATAGTGTGATTTATGCATTTCGAGCGCAACGCTACCTGTAATCCCAGTATTCATCATCGTTTACAGAGAAATTGATGTGCTCTTCGGAATATTGAGTTCCTCTGTAATTACCCAACCACACGTCGTATCCATTGTTGTGCAATTGAAACGCTGCAAAATACGTACATTTTCATTCAATAGAAGTAGAAACTGCATAACTGGAATAATACAGGCGCAACAGGAAATCTCTTTAATTATATTAGATCATTCAAATCCATTGTTATGTCGTTGCAGAGAATATGCTGTTATTGTAAATAATGCACTTTGAGTTGCATACGATCTATTATAACGTGAATGCAATACTTAAATGCAACTACCTGAGCTAATATCATTATGTATGAAATATACAATTGTATATTACAACAACATATCCATCGTGAGATTCAATATAACTATATTTATTAAAATTAAGCAATTGTATTTTATTTACCAATTATTTAAATAGTTCAACGTTTTATTTTTTTTGCAAAAAAAAATGAATTTATATTTTTGAATTATTAATTTTAGTTATAGAATATTGAATTTAAAAAGAATAATTATAGAAGTCATCGTATTTGATTGATATAATATGCAAATGTCATTGTCATAGCAATCTGCATTCACTAAACAAGAAAATGAATTGAAGGAAAACACGTTTCCACATGATACTTTACCTATTTTCCATCATTGTTAATTAACCTAATATCGATACTCAAGAAAAGAAAATCAGTTCAGTGTCATGAATTGTAATTATTCGAAAATAATTGGCGTAAAGCATTTATGTAAAATATTAGCACATTCTATAATTAGTCCACTATATATATGCAAGTGAACGTAAACGACTCAAAATGGTTTTCTGACGTGTATAAATATTGACATCTTGTATCTATTTACACTACATTTCGCAACGTATAGAGCCTGATTGCAGCAAAATGGCGAATACACGATCTTGATATTAATTTAGAAATTCACACATCTCCAATGTAAAAATCGGCACACATCCACGATCGTATTAATATTTATTAGAAAACTTGTACAGGTAACGCATATTTGAAATTCCGCATACAATTCGCCGATTTATGGACATTGCTAATCGTGTGCAGTAGTATCCAACAATAATTGTAGATCACCCTATAGAAAGTTGCTTAATGTTTTGCAATAAATCGCAATTTATCTTGTCTCTCGCAACAAGAGAAATGTATTAATTGGCTCTAGCTGTATACAAATAATTTTGTAATAGTTCCGTGCGCCCACACACGATACCCAAAGATTTTCGATTACTCGCATTACGTGCAATTTATTGTTACAGTTTCCAAAGATAAAATAAAATCAAATTGCAAAATCAAATTTATTACGAGGAACACAATAATATCAACAATAGAACTTACCTGTTGCAAACGTCGTTTTAATATTTGCGTTATTGCGTACGTTCCAGTTTTCTATTCGCCTTGCTAATTCGATTTTCTGCAATTCGCTCTGGAATTTTACGTCGCTAAGGACGACCGCATACATTTTTCCATACCGAGCAAAAAGTAAAAGTCGAGATTTCCATAAAGCTGGATACGTTACGCGATTTATATAAATATGTAATTTCAGACGTTGACATTGTAGGTTTTTTTAAATTTTATTTAACTAATTTCCACATGCGACTTGAATGAAATGAAAACTCACCCAAAGAATCGTTCCCCAAGGAGACCCAATTCGCACTGGTCGTTATCAAACCGTGCTGCAGGAATACGGAATTCATCTTTTTGTTAGGTGAATCCTTGTTTGTCATTCGGAAGATCGTTATGATGTAACCATCATTGGTTGTGACATTGTACACGGCAAAAGGTCTCCCGGTTTTTGTAATGATATCCGGCTTCGTGAAAATTGCAAATATAATTGATAAAATTACTTAATTTTAAACATACCACCGAGGCGCCGACAATTTCGTTGTGCCAGCAATTCGGATTGTTGTCCATTGCGTAATAATCTTTCATGGTTCTGCAGACATTATTTTGTTGAGGTAACACTTGTCCGCAGATTGACAACAAGATCACCATGTACCAGAACATATTTGGAACAACGTTGTGAAATTGCGTTGTACTTCTATTTATGTATTCCTGAGCATCCAGTTTTTTCCCATCAAGGTGAGAAACTTTAATGGGTTTGCTATTAGCCGAAATGTGAACAGGTAGGCCTTGAGGGATACGTAGTTATTAAACGGTTGAGACGATTCATAAACACAGTTTTTTTTATTATTAATGTAAGAATTTCTTCCATTTTTTTTTTATTTATTTATAAAAATATTCATTGAATTTAAGAAAAGGGACTAAAGGAAGTGCATTATATATCCTCGATCTGCGGTTTCCTTAAAAGTGATGTCCGAGGATGTGGTCGTGGACGGCCACTGGAACGTGGTTTACCACCGGAACGGGATACGGCGCTGGTACAGGAATTCCAACTGGACGATCTACTGGTACAGCAACGGGATGCGAAACTGGTACAGCAACTGGTCTATCAACGACAACGGGTACTGGATTATCAACAGCAACAGGGTATGGGGCAGGGACATGGACTGGATAAGGCCTGTCAACAGCAACTGGTACATTGACTCGTACAGGAACAGGGACATGCTTCTCGACAGTTACAGGGTATGGGGCTGGTACAGGGACCGGAATGCTTTTGGTGATCGTTGTGTGGGTGTGGACACTATCGACGACACCTCCAACGCCAAGACCTCCAACTCCAAGACCTCCAACTCCAAGACCTCCAACTCCAAGACCTCCAACTCCAAGACCTCCGACTCCTCCAATTACTCCGTGCACACCATGCACTCCGTGTCCTCCGAGCACCCCGTGTCCGTATCCTAATCCAAGAAGTCCGCGTTTCTCATGCTTCTTTTCCGACGCTTTCTCGGCCATCGAGCTGCCTATTAAGAGCACGGCAATCACCTATAAATAACAATTATTTTTCTCTTTGTATTCGATCGTTTCAATCAGGCTCGGATTTATTGCATCCGATTTGAATGGACTTGTCGTGAATCGTAGATCTCAATGGAGAAAGTATTTAATACTGTTTGGTAAACAGTACGCAGTAACGACCATTTGATTCTGTAATTGCATAACCGGTCACAACTAGATCATCCATTTTGCATATCAAACGCATTTTACAGCCACAACCTACTTTTCCTATTCCTATTCACAATTCACAACACTCATTACCGCTCAATTAACTTATTTTAAGGTCATTCCCATTCATTTCTCAGAATTTTCACATATTCAATATTTTGTCACCGCGCATATTATGTTTAAATTAAATACTTTCTGATAACATACAAGTTACATATATTTTTTAATTTATCATTTTGAACAAATACAAACATTATTTAGAAATTTAATAAATTAATTAATTCCTGTATCCACTTAATAAAGAAACAATCTTATCAAACGATTCAAATAGATTAATTTAATACAATTAATTAATTACAAATAAATGCCGCGGCCACATTTTATATATTTATAACTTAATTATATTTCAATTAATTTTACTTTTTCATTTTTATTTATACTTCATAAGTTTCTTATCATATGTTTTCATATTGCTACATTTTTTTTGTTCATTTAAAATTTTATTAATTATTTTCTTATTTTTTAGGTTCCTGATAAAGATTAATGAATGTTAATAAAATCTTTTTTTTAATATTTACATCATTTTCTTAATTTAATATATAACATTAGTTATTTTTTCTTTAGGATACAAAAAAATCAATTTATTCTTTTGGAACCACTCATTAATTTTTCTTTAAGTTATTTTATTTAATAATAATCGACTATTGATACCTTATATTTATTTGTTTTTAATTACTTATAATTAGAATTGTTTTTCCTTTCTTATTTTATGGGTCGAAATGAATATCAATGAATTTGAAAATACTGAAATTAAGTATTTTTATTTATTTTTACATGTAACATCAATATCCTCAAATAAAAATCGTATATTAAACAATCACTTGATTTGTCAACTATTAAGAAAGTTTACTATTAAAAATTGTTTACGGTCACAATCATAATTAGTAATTAACATGTATTCTTTAAATACCAAACGGCGATGCAATTTAACAACATGAAAATGAAAATGGCTGTTTCAAATTTAGAATTTAAATTAACTTTGAAGCGTGTTTTGTTGCACAAACTTAATAATAATAATCAATGTTTAGCAATTAAGAAAAAACGACTGAGCAAGAGAACAATCTAATAGGCAAAACGTACTTGAAATAAAAATAAATAGATATTCGCGTATGCAAATATCGTTGACGACATTCTAGTTTCATGTAAACAGCGATTGGGTAAAATCACGATGCATTCGTACTCACCAAGAACTTCATTGCTGCTGCTGGTATTAAACAATCGAGCACAAGATAGAGACACTTTTCAGGGCTGAAATGAACTGGTTAAAGGTTAGAATACGTGTAAAACTATATACTTCATCCCCCACTAAAAGCTTCTTGCATAAACTCGATGGGAAAATATATGTATATATAAGTATTTATAAATGAATTGATAATACTTTCTATATAGCGCAGTGACAAACAGTGTTATGAAATAACTTATTACTATTTCCAAGAACAAACCTTTTTCTCTTGTTCCTGTTTCTTGTTGTTTTTTTTCTTATTTATTCCATTGCGGCACAGCGAACATGCATTTTTCCGACGATGATTTTGTTGTTGTTGATATGCAAAGTAATAAAAAAAATATGTATTTCAGTAGGTGTTATGTAGATTTATTCGATGGCTTTGTTGAAAGGTCATTATCAATTCCAATCAAAGCAATATTGTAATACAATCTGATATCATTATGTTTCGCTGATAAATTACGAGTCTTTTCTCTATATATTTTTTTTGTGCACGTACAAATTTGATATTGGCAGGGAAAACATCAACGTCACACTCATATCATTACACAGACATTTATTATACTTTAATGCCATGCATTATGCATTCAGCGAAAACAATAATTACGTCTAATAATATACTATGGATTGCGATTATTTCAATTTCAGTTTTTAAACAATTTGTTTTTATAATTTATTGATAATGTTTATAAATTATATATTGTTATTATCGTTATTACTAGTCAACACAAATAGGATAAATAATTAATCTAATATTTTCAATTATATTTTACATTGTTTTAGAATCTATATAGAAAATAAGGAAATTTCATATTCTTAATAAATATTTCTAATCATCCTTTTATAATCATACTTAAGAGACAAAGTCGATTTATTAATGTGGCAAATTTTCTTGAATAAGAAATTTATTATTAACAATTTCTTGTTTTTAATTTAAAGATTTCAAGTTTGAAGTTCCTTTAAAAACGTTAACTTATTAATAATTTATTATTGTTGAAATATTTCTATTAACCTTTCCATTTCAACAATAATAATGAAAGAACAAATATTTTGAAAAGAGACAATTATGTTTAGTCAAATGTATTTTAAGATCAATTAACTCCTTTTTGGTATCTCTCACTCTTATATAATAATAAATATATTTTATTTTCAATAACCCTTTGCAACAGTTTTTTTTATCTTATTTTTGTTAATGTATTAATTTTTTTTATTTTTATTTTTGGAATACTATTATTTTATTACTTTATAGACAAAAAAATAAATATATAGAAAAAAATTTCTATTATAAATAACTATATTGTATTATATTTTATTTTATCAAATACTTGAAATCTTTAATATCATTTTAATTATATTATAATAAAATTATATAACCAAATTTATTCTTAGAAAAAGTTTGTAAATGAATGTTGTATCGATTATTGACAATAAATTTACATAATTAATCACTAGCTATTATTTGAAAGTCATTAATAAAATAAACAAACAAAACAAAAATTATACGCAATAATCAAAGAAATGAAAATTATGTCTCACGCACTTTGTATAATTATATATTAAATACAATATTTTTTCAAAACATTGAATATTGATTATAATAAATATTAATTTGTGTAATTAATCTATAATTTCACGAAATAATTATTGAAACATTATCTGAGAGCGTACATATCCTGGAACCTTGACTTATGTGCAGTTGCAAAAGAACGTCAATGGAACAGGAAAAAAGAAATAATGCTCGGCCTGTGCGTTTGCACATATGATACACTTATTAGAGCCTTACAATAAATATTATTTTAATGAATAATTATGTCAATTATCAGATTATTCTCCAGCGTGAAAGTTGCCCTTGTGTGTGGTGAAGAGAATAAAAAAAAAGTCACGTATGCAACAGCTTTTTGTAAATGGACATAAATTATTTATAACCAGAGCAAAAAGCGATTTATATGTAATAAACACGTGCTCGGAGGAAGGCGTATCCACGTATCAATAAATTACGGACTAAATGAATTCTCGAGGATTAACCAAAAGAGGAAAATATGTTTCATATGACCCGAATTATTACAGAATGTAGGAAGAACAACGCGTTTTCACTTTATTTTCATAACAATTATGCAATGTATTCCCATATACAAATGTTGCATTAAGTTAAAAATAAATCAAAACTTTATATTAATAAATTTCTTTGAAATTTTATAACGTTCTTGGAATGCTTTCCGACTGCATAGTTCACTGGATCGCAGTGGATTGCGATATTTTTATTTTTCATTGTTTCTTGATTTTTATCCCTTCTCTATCCTTCTACCTTGTGTGCGTTTAATGGCAAAGAGAGAATAAAAATAACAAGAATAACAAAGAACCAAGTTTATCGTGGTTTATTTAATGCAAAAAAAGAGAAATAACGCTAATGTAATCACTGCCGCAGTGTTTATATAAAAGGGGATCGATATAGATTAGATTGCAGACCATTTAGAGTGTTCATATCTAATAGAACATACTGTTAATATAATATATGATTTCATAAATTGTGGAATTTTGAACTACCTAAATTTGCATATCATGAATATGCAAAATAAATTAATGATCGTTTTTATTATTTCAGAATCTTTTCCACTAATTCAATAAATAATGTTTTTAGGTAATTAATTGATTGAATAACAAATAAATATTTGTCATCATTTATCGTTAATATATTTATCTAAGTTGTATATTTGTTGTTTTAGCTACAGCTTAAAATATATATATTATTAAAGCATACTTAAAAGTACTTTATTTGTTATAAAATGAAATATGTATGGATAAAATATTCTTGAAAGTAATGTTTATTAAATCTTGTACTCTTCATTTTCTGTGGGAGTGTCTCTTCCAGTTACAATCATTTTTCAAAGAATTCAATAATTATAAGAAAAACTAAATTTGCATACCTATATAATGGAAACATAAATAACAATCATTTGATTTGATTAAATCAATAACTGCTAACATTAGTGTGTCGTTACCAAATCTAAGATTCTAATTAGAAATTGACTTAGAATATATTCTGATTAACTTATTGCTTTCATTTAAATCAAAATCTTGAGTAAAATTATAGAGATTTTTGACGAATAAAATTTGAATAATATTTTTACACTAAACTATATTTCATTGTAAATAGAAAAAGAATGAAAATAACTAAAAACGATACAATTGTTAATAAAGGATTTGTACAAAAGTACAGTTTCCTAAGGTGCTAACGAAATATCAAGAGGCTGCCGTAGTCTACGGTGGTATGATGCTATATAAAAGTCTACCGTGGTTTACGGTGCTAACGAAATATCAAGAGGCTGCCGTAGTCTACGGTGGTATGATGCTATAATAAAAGTCTACCGTGGTTTACGGTGCTAACGAAATATCAAGAGGCTGCCGTAGTCTACGGTGGTATGATGCTATAGTCTACCGTTGTTTACGGTGCTGTTGAAATATCAAGAGGCTGGCGTAGTCTACTGTGGTATGATGCTGTAGTAAAAGTTTACCATGGTTTACGGTGCTAACGATATATCAAGAGGCTGCCATAGTCTACGGTGGTATGATGATATAGTAAAAATCTACCGTGGTTTACGGTGCTGTTGATGCTGTAGTAAAAGTCTACCGTGGATTACGGTGCTAACGAGACTGCCGTATTCTACAGTGGTATGATGCTATATTAAAAGTCTACCGTGGTTTACGGTGCTGATAAAATATCAAAAGGCTGCCGTAGTCTACGGTGGTATGATGCCGTAGTCTATACCACCATAGATGCTATAGTAAAAGTCTACCGTGGTTATAATTGTTAATAAAGGATTTGTACAAAAATACAGTTTTCTAAGGTGCTAACGAAATATCAAAAGGTTGCCGTAGTCTACGGTGGTATGATGCTATATTAAAAGTCTACAGTGGTTTACGGTGCTGATGAAATATCAAAAGGCTGCCGTAGTCTACGGTGGTATGATGCTATATTAAAAGTCTACCGTATTCTACGGTGGTATGATGCTATATTAAAAGTCTACCGTGGTTTACGGTACTGATGAAATATCAAGAGGCTGTCGTAGTCTACGGTGGTATGATGCTTTGTAGTGACAATTTTGTGAGTCTAAATAAATCATTATTTAAATTCCTTTCTTCTAGTGAATTTGTAATCCTACTACGTAAGATCGACTAATAATTTTATTAACTAATAGTAATCATCAATTTAAAAAATATGTTTAATTTAAAGTCATTAAAATTTCAATTTGTCATAGACCACACAAATAATATAGAAGTATTAATAACGTTGTGATGGATAATATTTTTTTAGGTATACTTTCTAAACATATTTATATTACTTCTATATCAGTTATAATTAAGCAATTAAAAATAATAATCATGTTTATTAATAATTTTAAAGAAAGTATGTAATAATATCAAAGCAGGCAACTAAACTAACACAAACAAATACGAACATTTTTCGCGCTCTTCGACTACTGTAAACAAGATTTTGCAAAACTAGGTTGAATTAGTTTAAATATTTTAATATATAATATAAATATCTAACACCCATTAGAAAATATAGTCAGCGATTGATATTTGCAGTGTTATTAATAATTAGTAAGAAATAAATCCAACAAATAAATAGACCATGGAAGGCATTTCTTGAAATAATATTGTATTAATGAGGAACGTTCAAGCCTTGCAACACTTCAGCCGCGCTGATTTCAATGTACAGCAATTAGAGAATGATCCCTAATATCTGTGCTAAGGTTACACTACTCAAAGTATTTAAAGGTACAATTTTTCGCATGTTCATTGCATATGTAACAAAACGGCGTGCACCAAGTATTCGCCTTTCGATTTAGATTGCCCGCAGCCGAGTTGGGTGTATATTTGCCATATGTACACCATAAACCAGAAAGGTCAAACTTTATTCCTTATCGTCCCGATGATCTTTCTTCGGTCGCCTTGCGCAACGGCAATTGTCAATTCGTACATCTCCCAGAAGCGTTTATGCAACAAACTTAATTGAATGTCTTCCGAAATGTCCATTATTCATTATATCCATTCGGTACAGCACATGCGTTCACGCTTACGCAACGTCCCGAAAATAGAAACAAATCGATATTAAATAATGTGTCATTTCCTAACTGCCAATTAATCCGTCGGTCCCCATCTGTTCGAGTGTTTCATAAATTTCGGTAACATTTTTTTTTTCTTACACTTTCGAAACAAAACAAAAATGAAGTTGCGTTTTCTCGCACGCGGACAATGCTCGAGGTAAGAAGAAGGAAGGAAAGAAGAAATGAAGAGGAAAGAGTGCTGAATCTTTATGGCAACTCGGTGCAACAACGAACGGTTGCATTTATGTTCAGCTGGACTTCTTGCATAAGCGTGTCGCCAATGCATGTTGCAAATATTTTATGCTAAAGGAAATACTCTTGTATGCGCGCAAAATGTCCCCACATAAATCATGTCGCTCGCCGGGAGATTTCTACCAAAAATGGATTATTACGCAATCAAACTGCATATCATTTATACTTATATCTCAATGCCTACAATAACTGAAGTAAAATACAATTTATTATTATAATATAATATAATTTATTATAGGTCTTTTAGGTATGTAAAGTAATAATACTGAGTTAGTAAAACATACATTGTACATACATTTGGTACTAAAATTAATCAATTTTTTAATTGAATATTCTTTAATTTAATGCAAACTAATTTGAACTCATGCTTATGTTATATCTACCTCTTAAATATCATTAACGATTTATAATATTCACTTAGATGAAATTATATTTTTTATTGCATTTTAATATGTATATGCATAAAAGTATTGATACTCATAATTTACAAGTCATTGCGTTATTCAAGCAAATATCAGATTAATATAGAATCGAATATGTAATATATGCGGTCTCGTGACATATAGCAATTGCATACAAGATTCATCGTTTTTCTTTCATAATTACAATTCACTTTAATCGTCTCCACACGAAATATGATCTTCGCAGTAAGAAGCTTTCCATGGGCGTCAATTAATTCAAATTAATTAACTAAAGAAAAAGAAAGTCGACTCTCATTACATAACCCAATATTAAAACACACACAAAAAAAGCATGGACAAAAACTACAACAGCATTAACAACAAAAAACACACACAATATTGGGCAATTAACATTAATTTTACAAGCAGCGATAAATTTCCATTTTGTTTATTTTAATTAAAACTTGGATTATAAAAAAGCTTGAAAATTTCTCAAAACGACATTGATGTATACAATTTGCTTTATACGTAGTTTATTTTAGTGTTGTTGTTTTTTTTGTATACACATTATAACCTTGTGTGTAAAAAATAATGTTGTTTTGGGCAATCTCTTAGATAGGATTACCTTACGCAATTTTTCGTTGTCTTCATATTTTGTTGTTTTTTTCATTGTAGTTGAAGGAATCATAAAACAAACAGAGCAAAATGCATTATTTGCAAATCACGGTGGAGCGTGTCGCAATTGTATTTGTGTTCTTGCGAAGGAAACACTGCAGAAATGGATTTACTGTTAGAGCAAAAACCGAAACACATTCTCAATTTTTCTAGAACACGTATTATGTATATAGCGCAACGGGGAAACAAAGCAAAATTATGGAAATTGCTGTAGCCGACTCAGCCCACTTCGATATTATGCGGTTGAAGGTCGATAGCCCTTTAAAGATACTAATTAATATATAATATTAAAAGTGAATGTATCCCGGATTGATTTCTATGAATCATGCATTTTCCTACATACAAAAAAAATAATAAGGAAACAACGATCAAAGTGTGATTACACATATATTTTGCTTGATTTTATAAATTATGCAAAGGTCAATTCGCAATTACACGCCGTTTAGTTGTTTTTCGATGCTTGAAAAATATGAATTAAAATATTAATTGAAACATATAAATTAGTGCGCTTCTTTAAGAAGTTACGGAACCGCGAAACGTTCTTAATACGGTAATTACAGTTTTTAGAGGTAACTCAATTTTAGAGCAGCGGGATTATGTAAGTACTGATGGTTAAGAAGAAATATTTTCGGTGGACTAGTTGTGCAAGAGCGAGCGCTCTTTTTTATTGGCGTGTCGTAAATATAATAATGATACTCTTGTTAATACGATTTCGAAATCATCATATTTTTGTGTACAATGATTTCTATATCCTAACGTATTGGAAAATTGGCCGTTGGTCGTTAGGTTTTATTATTTGGAAAATGCACTTTATTTATGGCTAAAAATTTGAATTTAGTTGCGAGTGAACGGACGAAATGTCGTTGGTTGTATCGGTGTAACGTAACCGCTTAGTCTAACCTTCCGGTTCAGCATATGTGTATCAGTGAAAGCCGCGCTGAATCCAATATTCCATCGCGTAACCGACGTCTTTCAGGTGGTGGTGGTGCAAACTTCAAGATCAGTATATAAGTTGGCCGAAACGCTGTTTTCTACATCATTCATTAACACTTTTACAACCATGAGGACCTTCCAGGTAAGCGAAATAATCCTCCCAAAAACGAAAAAAAACAATAGGTTTAATATTAATTCTCCTCTGCAGATTTGTACACTGGTCTTGGCCATCGTCGGCAGCATCTCTTGCGAGGATGTTAAGAAGGGCAAACGCGGACTCATCGATTTGGGATACGGATACAGTGGATCCGTATTGAACGGTGGTATTCTCGGAAGCGGGCATGGATTGGGACACGGTTTGGGATACGGTGTAGGACATGGATTAGGCGGCGGATATGGTTTAGGACACGGATTAGGCGGTGGATATGGTTTAGGACACGGATTAGGCGGTGGATACGGTATCGCCGGAGCCGGATTAGGTTTGGGTGGCGCCGGATTAGGTCTCGGAGGTGCCGGATTAGGTTTAGGAGGTGCCGGTTTGGGACTTGGAGGCGGCAGAAGTACTTCTTCAGTAACCACCATCAACCGTGCCGTCCCAGTACCAGTACCACAACCCTACCCAGTTACTGTAAACCGTCCGGTTGCTGTCCCTGTACCAGTACGTGTACCAGTCGATGTACCACGTCCAGTGCGCGTTGAGGTACCACAACCGTACCCAGTCTCCGTACCCAGACCATACCCAGTCACCGTTACCCGCACTGTACCAGTCCCAGTTGCCACACCTGTTGCTGTACCAGTAGCCCGACCAGTACCAGTCTCTGTCCCGCACCCAGTTCCAGTCACCATCAACCAAGCCGTCCCAGTCAGGGTACCATCCCCAGTCATCGTCCCTGAACCAGTTGTCGTCGGCGTTGGCGGTGGATTCGGAGGAGTTGGTTTGGACGGAGGATTCGGAGGTCTTGGAGGTCTCGGAGGAGCCGGTCTTGGCGGTGCTGGTCTTGGACACGGAATCGGTCTTGGAGGTGCTGGTCTTGGACACGGAATTGGTCTTGGAGGTGCTGGTCTTGGACACGGAATCGGTTTGGGTGGAGTCGCCGTCGGCCATGGCTTTGGAGGAGCTGAATTAGGCCACGGAGTAGGTCTTGGAGGATTGGAACATGGTATCAGCCTAGGACATGGACACGGAGGTAGCTTGTCCCTGGGCCACAAATCCTGGTAAAAATTGAACCATTTAGTCTGTGACGCATCGTGTGCAATATTTAATAAGTTCTAGTTTAGACGTCCTTGTATAAAATATAAATTAAAGAATAAAAAAATACTAAAAAAAAATAATAAATAATAAACACCTTTGATTCAATTGTATTTACCAAAACAGAGAAATATTAATAAAATAGAGTAATCAAAGAACAATTCGTTTTCTTCTCTCAAAAGATATTTCCTTTAATCACATCTCCAAACCATACTTATCAGATAATTTCAAACGTATTTTTTTAATTAAACACATTTCGACTAATTCGCGATTTCTCTATTTACATTATGTAAATACTAACTACATGCAATACTGTATGCATCTGATTATATTTATCTAATCATAATCCCACACTATTTGAACACAAGTTTTGTCAAGTGAACGCTATATCTGTTCAGAAGGTATTCGGTTAAACAAAATATGTGTTTATTAGTCGTAAAATATAGTGGATTATTTAGGAATTTAAAATCTGCAGCATTAATAACAGCGTTCGTTTTATTCGTAAGCAAATTGAACAAAAAAAGACCAAAGATTTAATAGTTAACTTGCAGATATTGTACTTACTACTCTTCCTAGCCATTTGTTTCAGTTATACCTGCATTCCCATCGAAAATGTTTTTATTAAGAAATGTAAGTATATAGTTACAATTAAATAGAAAATATAATTAACCTTTGTTAATTTTAGTCGAAAGGTACTTAGTATTAGCAATTGGAATTTATATGATAATTCCATTTGCTTTATCGTCAATCCTAATATTCGCATTGTTAACGGTAATAAGCGTTATTTCTTTATAGATTTGTCATGAATTTAATTCATATTTATAATGTATTTATATCCACAGGAACACGTAATTTGTATGAAGATATGGCTAAGAGTATTCACAGCAGTTACAACAATTTACACCCTCGTAGTTTTAGGAGCGTCCATCTATTCAATAGTAGAAGGAACTTTGCATATAGGATTAACAGCATTAATTGCAACATCAATTTTAGCAAGTAAAAACAAACCAATATTGTTCGCAAGTACATATTATTACAATACATTTTTATTGATTTTTCCAGTTACAAACAGTCACGGCATAATGATCGTATTTTGTTTATACAAGGAATGTATTTTACAATCTATAAGGGAACCAAAATCAAATAATTCTAATGTATTCATGATATTCAAAGAACAGGAAGGCTTCACAAGAGTTTGTAAAATATCTTTTTTTTATTTATAAATCTAAATAATTATGTCTTCTAGGATAGGTACCGCGAAGAGCAACAAAGTGATCGTGATATAGAACCATATGCACCAACAAATGTCAGTGTATAGTTTATTTGAAAAATGTAATACAAAAAATAATTAATGTAAATTTACTTGTTATAGAGTAACCTAGATGAAATATTGGAGTGTAAGGTATACATTGTTCATTATTCTACGATTAAGATTTGTAATTATGCTCTTTGTTTATAGGATGCAGATACTGTTGATACGTCTTCGATTTCTAAGGTTTTAAATCCAAATAAGTNNNTCAGAATGAAACATCAACAAAACTATCCCGAGTTGATTCAATATATGGAGTGGAACTTAGATCGAAATAAATCTTCATTTGTGTAATTGTATGAAATCATATTTATGAATAAAACAAGAATTACTATCGAGTAAGACGACCCTGTGCAAGTAATCTGATCGAAGTAAATTTTCAATTTAGTTCAAGTGTAACGAGTTTCAGAACACATAAAACGCCGAGCCAACGGTTTCAATTTCACAGTAATAAGCTTTCATACGCATACATTAAATCTTAATTATAATTATGAAATTAACGGTATGTTCATTTTTGTTTAACATTTAAAGACAGTTTTCTTAATGTTCCTTTCAATTTGGTTTCTTTTTGTAGAGTGCTGTTGTATTCTTGGCATTTATGGTGTACGCATCGTGCGAATTAAGACAGAGGCGCGGTTTGCACTTTCATTTGGGCCATAGAGATGTAGTTCATCATCATGTTCACCATTCACCTCCAATTGAAGTTCATCACGTTCCAATTGCTCATCACGTAATCAGTCCTGTACATTTAACACATACCATTCCTGTGGTCCATCACCACCATTATATAAGATAGTATTGATTGTTATACAATAATTCCACTATCTGTTCGTCAGTACATACTTATATAAATACTTAAAATAAATTTGAAAACGCTTTATAAATGTTTTCCTTAGTAAAATGAAATAATCTGTTTATTGAACTCTTTGTGTTCGACCAAAAATCGCGTGGATACCTTTGAAATGCTGTAATTATAAATGTAATTTCAATACAATACAGCTTTTTCTATTGCATTAAGTTAATTGCAATTTAATTAAGAGTAAAATTGCTAGAATGGTAGGTTTAAATTACGTAGTAGTATATTGTTATATAATTACTAAAAATTTGTTTTTTTTTTAACTGAAATAAATTTCTTTAAATTCTTAATTAATTTTTGTTGGTGTTTATGTAATTAGGCTAAATGGATTCCAGAGGGAAGAGTAGAAGATTTTTTTTTGTGATAATAGTCTGATGTAAATTGTATTGCCTATGCTTATAAAATTGCTGTCAATGTCATAACAAAAAGGTTATAGTCTATTATGACCTCTCCGACCCATATAATCAAATTGTTTTAAAAAAATGATTGGATAACGCACATTCATAAAAATGTTTTTGAAACCATGTGGTATGCACAATGCTGCAAAGATCAATCACTTGAGATTTAAACACAGTGCCACTTTGGATAAATTGAAAGAGAAAATAGTGAACGGACCTAGCCTGCAGGACTTCATCTCAAACTCTGATCCAGTCTTATCAGATAGCAACACTTGGGAGGATTATGATGGTAAATTGAAGAGAGAGAAAGGAGAGAATGGACGTCTCAGATTGCCACCCTGGCTAAAGACTTCAATTCCTACAGGTATGATATTCTGTTTATTTATAATCATATGTGATTGATATAGATTTTTTATAGGAAGTAATTTTAGTAAACTCAAGGACGAACTGCGTAAATTGAATTTACATACAGTATGTGAAGAAGCCAGATGTCCAAATATTGGTGAATGTTGGGGTGGAGGAGAACATGGCACAGCTACAGCAACAATCATGTTGCTTGGAGATACATGCACAAGAGGCTGCAGATTTTGTTCTGTTAAAACGTCAAGAGCGCCTCCACCACCAGATCCAAAGGAGCCAATAAATACTGCAACTGCTTTAGCCAATTGGAGATTGGATTATGTTGTATTAACATCAGTTGACCGGGATGATTTGGAAGATGGGGGCAGCAGCCATTTTGCTGAAACTGTTGTAGAAATTAAGAAACAGAATCCTAATATGATTGTAGAATGTCTTGTACCAGATTTTGCTGGAAATTTGAATTGTGTTGAAACAATTGTTAAATCTAATTTGGATGTGTATGCTCATAACATTGAGACAGTGGAAACATTAACTCCATTTGTTAGAGATAGAAGAGCTAAGTATAGGCAGTCACTTGCTATGCTCAAGGGTGCAAAAAGTTTCAATAGTGAACTAATTACCAAATCATCAATTATGTTAGGATTGGGTGAAACTGATGCACAAGTTGAACAAACAATGAAAGATTTGAGGGAGGCTGGAGTGGATTGTGTAACTTTAGGTCAATACATGCAGCCTACGAAGAGGCATTTGAAAGTAGTTGAATATGTAACACCAGCTAAATTTAAACATTGGGAAGATCTTGGAATGGAAATGGGATTCTTGTATGTGGCTAGTGGACCGCTTGTTAGAAGTTCCTATAAAGCAGGTGAATTTTTCATTGCCAGTATTTTGAAGAATAGAAAAACAAGTGCAGAAAGCAACAGATGTTAATTTATTATTTTGAATAATGTAAATAAACGAATTTTCAAACTTTTATTGAAACATTTTTATGCATCATTGGGGTGCATAATCTCCTAAGTATTGCTGTTTGATCAATTGATTGTATGCACTAATGTTATTCAATTTAAATATCTATTTGGGTTCACTCATTATAATTTTTGTACTACAGAGATTCTTACTCAAGTTAGAATATAAATAAAAATAAATTAGATACAAAAATTAAATTTTCTGTTTGAAACTTAAAGTAATATCCATAATAATAAATCGATATTGGTGTAATTACACTGAAGATAAATATACAAGATAAAATCAGTCAATTAGTGCAAATACTGGTTAGTAAGTTTGCATTGTTTATTCTTCATCTTCTTATCTTTAACGTCTTGGTACTGGAGATCTTGAGCGGAAGCGTGAATTGCTGTCAAATCTTCGTGCGCCACCACCACCACCACTGCTGCTGGTTGTAGTTCCTCTGGCCCTGAATGTTTCTCTACTTCCTCTTCTCAAGCTGTCACCATTTCGACTGTTGTAATCTCTGCTGCCATAACTACTTCTCTCTTCCCTTGCACCATAATCATCATATCTTCCTCCACCTCTTGATCCTCTTGTTCCACGAGCACCTCTGAAGCTAGTACTTCCACGTTCATTACTATAGCTTCTAAAACTACCACCACCATTTCCTCCTCTGCCAGTTGATCCTCTACGAGCTCCTCGTGCCCCTCTAAATCCACCACGTCTGCCAGAGCCTCTTGCTATCTCAACTCTCAATTTGGAGCCGAGGAAATCTGAGCCATTCAAGTTGTCACAGGCAGTCTCTGCATCACCATGACTGCAGAACTCAATGAAGGCAAAGCCAGGTGGATTAAATGCCACCCAGACGGAGTTGAGTTTTCCATACTTCTCAAACTCACCTTCCAAATCTTCCTTCTTGATTGTTTCGGTGAGCCCTCCCACAAATACGCGAGTGCCCTTGTCGCTGTCTCGCTCACCCATAGTCGCTAGATGTTCTGTGGAACGTAGAATGAATTGGAAGCGAGGGATACAGTCTCTGAATTATCAGACGTTTATGGCGAACTCGTATTTTTGGATTTAAAGAAAATACGTTGATATACATTTTTTATGTTAGATACGAAAAAATATACTTAACCAAATTATGTGCGGAGATTTCTAGTTTTAGCTCAACGTATTTTGATTTTTGGGTAATTTGAGACGATGAGAGTTTAACGACGCGTAGCTTTTTTTGTTTGTTTGCAAAAACAAAAACAAAACGACAACAGGAGCAATCTATATATGCATGTATATGTATTTATGGGCGTATATATAGGAAATTTCTATAAATTGAAACTGACGAGATTCGCAGCCAAAACGGTGATTAATTGCTTGTTAAATAAGTATACATAACTAATAACTCGAAGATTTCGAAGCTCTCAGTTTTTTTTTGTTTATTTAGTTACCCAAATTTCGTTGCGAAGATCGTAGAACGGAGCTTTATTATATACGACGCTTTCGATGCAAAATGGCGTAGAATGCCGATCGATTAATACACTTCTTGTTTTGCAGCGCCCTCTCAAACTTTATTTCAACTAATTTTGTCAGTTACATTTGACAACCTTCTTTTTGAATTATTATTTCTATATATTGTCTTATAAACCATTCACTTATAACAAAACAATGCCATATTAACCCATTGCAACAATTGTTGCCATTATTAATTAATTACATAAGTAATCTTATTTCAAAATGTAATTAAAAAAAATTAATTCATTAATCATTCATTCATTATCTGAAACGAATTTAACTGTAAAAATTCAACAAGTATTTATAATAAATTATAATATTACTTTATTTGTAAACGACATATTATATAATTTGGTAATATGTACATATGTTTGCATACTCATGTCAGTTAACTACAAAATGCAGAACTATATTTGTGAAATACAATAAACTTTGACAATTTTAATATCGATATGAAATAATGTTGTCAAATATAAATAAAAGTGAAACTAATTTCATTACAAAAAATTATTTTATTTAATTGAAATATTCAATATATTAATACATGAAAAACTATAAGAACCTCTTATTACAGTAAAAATATACGTCACTAAATAAATGTATTTAAAAAAACATATAATTAAGAATTGCTTGTTAAGCTAGCCATCAGAAGTTCCATTTTATGTAAGAAATTTCTTCCCTCCATCTTCTCCAATCGCACATCTCTGAATTGTCCACCAAGATGTTCCCATTTCCTTTCCGTGACCAATCTGCTTGGAAAGAAATCAGATCTGGGAGAATGAGCTACCGAAACTTGAACTCCGGCTTGAGGCTCGCATCTTACAGCGATTAATCTATCACCATTTGGCGATGCCAACATGCAAGAACTTGCATTACCCAAAGGCTCAACGCTGCCCAAACCTAAATGAGAAGAGTTTGCCAAAAATTGCCACCCCATTGTCTTAGCTAACGCTTGTACGGCAAGAATTTGATGTTGATTGATGTGGCAGAAGATCAAATCTCTGAGCTCCTGTGGTTCATAACTCATATGCATCACCTTGCCCACTCGGCAGATGCATTTCAAACTCTTTTCACCGACGTGAATTACAAGAGGAGTTCTGAATACTGCGTCGTATCCATGAGTAGATATGTTTATTTTCACGCATGATTGCGTTGGGCTATTCAATGTATTCCAGTGCGAAGTAATCAAAGGGTCTTTGACTTCTTTTGCTATTGTATCCAGCACATATTCGGTCCTCATTCTCATGAAGAAATGTTGGGCTTGCTTGATAATTTGTTCCAAGAGCGTTTCAGACTTGGTCATCTCTAATAACTCGTAACGGTCGGCTGCCATTGGTCCTAATTAATAAACAAATAATTAAATTATAATTATTAAAGTTACAAGTATTCTGAAAACAAACCTGCAAGATAGCGTTTTTTCGATGGTCCTAATGGACCAGTGGAAGGATGCGGAAATGGATGATGAGTATTTTTGTGATGAACTTCTCGTAATAATTGATGTAAAGAATGTTCCAAGACATGATCATGATCGCTCTTTGATGGTGCAGGAACAGGTGGTTTCTTATCACCTGTTGTAGAGTGACACAGCCCAATTATTAATTGGATCCCAGGTAAAACCTGTATAAATAATTAAGTATTAATTAAATATTTAGACTGAATATGCATGCAGTTTTTACAGTTGCCATAATCTGATTTCCAACGACCATATGCGGAATTGGAGCCTGAAGCTGAACAGCTTCTTTAGCTAGTTGATTGAAGAGTTCTTTGCAGAATAAGACGTTTTGAGCTGCTTCTAACTTTTGTTGCCAGTGTACATCTGGATTTGATGTTGGTGGACCAGAGCCTAACAAGTTAATGTTAGCGCTACACAAATCTTCCTGATCTACAAATACATTTTAGAATTAGTATTTATGAATTGTGCTAGATTAGATGAGATTTACCTTTTTGACATAATACTTCAATGTATGCTACACCTTGCAATTCGGAAGGTACTGTTACTCTTAATGCTGAACTATTTTTGGGAGTAGAACCACTTGCTGATGGACTATTTGGAGGACTATTAGTTTTATCATCGTCCTCAGCCTTTGTTACTTCAAACATACCAGTTTGTGTGAATTTTGATCCAGCTGTGCGATAGCTCAAATCTCCAATAATGCTATTAGAAGCCTTCTTCAAGCGCCAATTCTGTCGCAATCTTAGTAACTCGAAATGGAAATCAGTTTTGTTCCTAACAACCTCATTCTGTGATGTTTTCAGTCTTTCTACTCCAGTGAGGAGAACACTGGCAGCACCTGCAAGCGCCTTTTTCCTAGCATATATCTGTACTATAGATTTAGTTTCTACTGGTTCCTGTGGAACAGGATCCAATACCATGTACCTCTTCTCCTTTGCTATTGCTAAAACATCCGCCAGAACACACACTTCTTGCAATGCACTATGCAGCTTGTTTCTTACTGTATCCCAAGGCCATAAGCTAGACTGTATAGAATCTTTACTATCTGTATCTGACTTATCATCGGGAATATCACCAGGTTCTTTCTTTGGTTCAACTATGTCAGCTGTTTTACTGAAATCTATTTTTTGGGCATATTTCGCCAGACTCTCAGATACAGTTAAAGGTCTGAAAGGGAAATATAGTATTTAATAAAATAACTACATGCTTCAAGCTTAATACACTTACGATTGATATATTTCCTGTCCATCATAGGTGATTTCCTGGATCTGATTTTCAATTGGAGCCTCAACAGAAATATTCACAGAATATGCCATTTTTTTTAAT